CGCGGGGAGTATGCAACTAGTTACATCAAGGAACGTCTTTGTCTTGGCATTACCATTGATGATAGGAACCATGTTGTTTGCTACTTTTATGGCATTCATTGTTGATAGACGTCGCTGCACCGTGTGGACTTCCCACCGCATCATTGTTATCATTTACTGTTTAGTGGAATTTGTATCAGCGTTATTTTGCTTTACTTAGGTTGGCCGTATTACTAGAGAGTTAGGTTATTTCGTGTGTTGCAAGTATTATGGGTTTTTAATAGAAAATATATCATCCTAAGACAGATTTAAGTTTTTATTTACACAATAAAGCAGTTGTTGCTACTAGGGTAGTTTTATTTAACTAAATCCACTTTCTTGTTACAAACAAACTAAATTAATCTAGATTTTCTTTAAGTATCTACTACTTTAACTAAATTTAATATATATTTTTACTTTATTTAACATAAACTCTGAACAACAAATAATACAATATGGATCCACATCTCGTTCTTCTTCATCTTCTTCATCTTTTTTTTTTTAGAATAAATCTGTTCTTCAGTTTTTTTTTCAACCATTGTGTTATTATCTCATCCTTTTTGTGCTCAGTTCCTCCGTCCAAGATGCCGCCGATGTGGGTCTCGTCCAACGGTGGTCATTACTCTTCATCGTGTCTCGTCGCGTCTCAAGCCCACGACCTCTCCATCTCCAAATGATGTTCTCAGTCGCCATGTCTCTGTTCTGTCGTAGCTGACTCTCCGTTTTGCCAACAAGATCTGGCGAGAAATGAAATCTGCAATTGAACCAGAATTGAAATCTAGCACATCTGAGGTAAAAGACATTAAAACAAATGGAAAATGTAAGGAATCATAAAAATAGGTAAGAGAGGCAGCAGTTAGGGTTTATGGTCGACAATGGCCAAGGAAGAAGACAAAGTTATTTTCGTAATTTTGCATAATTAATTTAAAAAAAAAAATTAAGGTTTGTACACGAAACATGTTTGTTTTGTACACATGTACACTCATGTTTGTGTACACCCTAATGAAGTTTTTCAAGAACATCAAATCTTAAACAAACAAAATTAAAGAATGAGGTTTGTAATTAGATCATTACACAACCCAACAAAATATCTCACTGGTAGGAAATGCAGAATACCTTAATACGAAAAAAATGATTTAATTACAAAATTGCTATTCATTTAAAAAATGTGTACATGTGTACAGTTATATGTGTACATATGTACAATTATATATGTACATGTGTATATCTTCATATGTACACTCTTTATTATTAAAACAATGTTACTTATTTGGTTTTCAAATAAATTCTCTTTACAAATAAATTCTCACCACTTGTGATTACTACACTATTAAGAAGACTATTAAGAAGGCTCAGTTTGAACACAATTGTCCTCTGGATCAGCATCACTTCTATAACAACATGACCACCACAATGTACACAATGATACTAAACCCATCAAGTATCTAACGTGTGTACATTCTTCTACAAGAATAAGGCCACCAAATGTACATAATGATACTGAACCCTTAAAGTCTCTAACATGTATACATCTATCAATCAAAAATTTAGTTTAAAACTTATGTACATCTATTGTACATGTGATTTTTTATAAGAATCATAACTTGTGCGGTGTACAAAGAACTAGTGTCCACCTACGTCTATTTTATAGTGGACATATGTACATCAACTTCAAAGTATACTTGTGTACACTACATATGTTCTTTAGATATAAGCAAACCACCACAATTGCATACAAAATCACAATTAAAAAATTACAATAAGAATCATAACTTGTGTACATCTACTGTACATGTGATTATTTATAAGAATCATAACTTGTGTTGTGTACAAGTACATGTGATTTTCTATAAAATATTGTATATGTAGACATGTGTTTTTTTATAAAAGAATTCGTATACATGCTCTGGATCAGTTTCACTTCTACAAGAACAAGGCCACCAAATGTACACAATGATATTGAACCCAACAAGTCTCTAACATGTGTACATCTAAAAATAAAACTTTAGACTAAAACGGTGTGTACAATACCATATATAATAGTGTACATACATGTTATTATCCATGTGTACAACTATGAATGCGTACATGTCTTGTTCAGAAACTTGGTACGCATTTTTGTTAAATAATGTGTACACGTTATTATCCATGTGTACACCGTATTTTCAACTTTTCAGAGAGGGCATTTTCGTAAATATGTCTTCGACTTTCCCAGATTTTTAGGGTTTTCTGCAACAATTTTGCGGCCGCCACTGATTTCTTTCTCATAATCTTCTATTCTTTTACATTTTATCTTCAAGCTTATACATATTTCGTTTAAATCCCTATATCAAACAACAAAACTCAGAAAGTTTTATTTTTTTTGTATTCTCCCGACTCCATGGCCGAATTGAACCAAAACATCACAATCAAACGCCATAACAACTTCAGATGGGCACGATGGTGAAGATGAACGCATCTGAGTGATTCGGAGGTGATTTGTTGACGATGACTAAGGCAGCAACAAGAAGACCTCGAGTTCAATGTCTGGGTTTCAAATAAGATTTTGAGCAAGAACATAGAGTTTGATGGTGGTGTTTGGTGCTCGTGACCGTCATCTTATTTTCAAATAAAAGAAAAATGAAATTAAGAATTGTGGGATCTATTTAGTTGGAAAAATAAACTTAGTTAGTTTGTAGTTGGGAAAAACTACCTTAAGAGCAACAACTGCTCTATTTTGTTTTTGTAATTAAAAACTTGAAACTGCCCTAGAATGAAAAGAACTCTTTTTAATATATCAACCTATTAACCTTGTTTTAATTTATAAAAAAAAAATCGTTTTATTCACTGTTCTCTTTGAGTTCTCTTTTTCAACGATCTTGAAATATTATTCCGTTGCAGGAGCTATAGCTATGAGCTGTAAAGCATTAGAAATCTAAAATTAAAAGACATATTTTTGGGAGAACCAAAAAAAAAGACATATTTTTGGGTGAACCTCTAATTCACCATCCAATAGTATTATATTATTTTATATTTGATATCTTTTCAAAAAAGAAAACAAAATCTTCTTAAGTTATATTATGTTTTTAAAAATATAAATAAAAAAAATAAATTTTGAAAATAAGAATTAAAAAAACGAAAATAATTATTTAAAAAAAAATATTTTAACACAAAACTCTAAACCAGTGTTTTAAAACTCGACCCCGACCCGCGGTTGAACCGGTAAACCCGGTGACCCAAAATAAAACCGGTTCGGGTTTTGTTAAAAACCGAAAACTTAAAAACCCGGAAAACCCCACTAAACCCCCAAACCGATTCCGGTTGAACCAATAAATACACTTTTATTTTTTTTTTAGTTTTAAATTATGTTTTTATTCTATTTTATATTCTAAATTTCTAATTTAAAAGTTAGGTTTTCACGTTTTAGTTATTGGCATTTCCGTCTTTTTCTTTAAATTTAGATTAAACTTTCTGACTTTTTATCATACATAATACCTATTACACTATTTTATCTGTGATTTTTAGATTTTGATGAATATTTCACTATATCACCTGAAGAAAATGAAGTGAAGGGTGTTAGCGAGAACCAAAATTAGTTGATGCGATTTGGTGTTAGTTTATTTTTGTTATTGATAATTTATTACAATGATGTTTTACTTTTGTTTATTTTAGATTTGAAGTTCAATTTATTATTCTCATTAGACATTTAAATATTTATGAATTTTACATCTTGATTTTTTTTAGATGTCATTACTCTTAACTTGTTATAAAAAATTTAAATAGTCTAAACTAGTTTTTGATATTTTGTATATTTATACATTTTATGTTTTAAAAACATTTAGAAAATATTTAACTTTAGTTTCGTTATCTTTTTGTTTTTATTTTTTTTATTTTTGACAACAGCTAATATATTATTATATAATAAAGTTTTATTTATTAACATGCGATTCACCCGCAGTCGACCTAGTGATCCAATGACCCGGTAAGTTGTCCGGTTCAGTATTCGAATCGGGTTTAAAAACATTGCCCTCAACTCTAATCCTAAACCCTAAACTTTTGGGTAATCATAAATCTTTTGATAAATCTTATAGTGTTTTAAAAATTTAGTGTTTATGATTTATCCAAGGATTTAGGATTAGAGTTTAGGTTTAGTGTTTATGATTTACCCAAGGGTTTAGGGTTTAGGATTAGAGTTTAAGGTTTAGTAGTGTTAAAATGATTATTTTAAAAGAACTTTTTATAAAATTTATCCAAAGGTTTATGATTTATCCAGGAGTTTAAGGTTTAGAATTAGAGTTTAGGTTTAGTGTTAAAATATTTTCTTTTAAAAGAATTATGTTCATTTTTATTAATTATTTATTAATTATTTTTTGTATTTTTATTTTTAAAAATATAATATAACTAAACAAGATTTTATTTCCTTTTTTAAAACATATCAAATATGAAATAATGTAATCCTAATTGGATGGTGAACCTTTAGGTTCAACGGGGTGAACTCAAAAATAAATCAAATTAAAATATGTTCTATTCAGTGTCTAGGTCCAGCAGAAAAAAAATAACTTCAAAACTTTATCATCCCTTATTTATTATTACTTCTGTTCTGTCACTGTTTCTTGTAATGATCCTAAGGCAAATAAAGATGTTGAAGTATCTTCAAGAGATGAAGTGGTTACATTGGAAAATGCAATTCTATTGGATGGTCAACCTCTGGACTGAACCAAAGATTAACTCAAATTAAAATCTGTTTTATTCAGTGTCTAGGTCCAGCAGAAAAAAAAAACAAGAACTTCAAAACTCAATCATCCCTTATTTATTATTACTTCTGATCTGTTACTGTTTCTTGTAACGATCTTAAGGCAAATAAAGATGTTGAAGTATCTTCAAGAGATGAAGTGGCTACATTGGAAAATGTCTTGAAGGAATCTTTAACTTTGGAAGATGAGCAAAAACCACTTAACAACAGCAATAATTGCTTTAGCAAAAAAAAAAACAGCAATAATTGCATGAGACGTGAAGAACAATCTTCACCTCAGCTACAGGTAGTACACATTCAACAATCTATAATACCATCAAATAAAGTCTTAAGTTTTAAATCTAGAAGTTTCTGACTTGCTAATGTGTGTGACTGCAGGAGAAGGAGAAAATAAGCTTAGAAACCATAGCTCTCCAAACAGAGCTTGATAAAACAGAGGAGCCAATAAAAACAGAGGAGAAGCTTTCCTCTGTTTCTACAATAACTTCTCAAAAACCAAACTTGTTAGTGCAAAACTCTTTAGAAGACAACAAACTCTTCTCTAGCGGATTTGGAGAGACGAGTTTCTCTGCAGCAGAGGCAGATTCAGGTCATATAACATACTCAGGACCAGTTGCATTCTCTGGAAGCTTATCAGTTCGTTCAGATACAAGCACACCGAGTGGAAGATCATTTGCTTTCCCAGTGACCAGTGTATTGCTTTGGCTCATCTTAACACTTTGTGAGACATAAAAAAGGAAACTTTTACTGAATATTATGTTATTTATGTGCAGATTGCAGTCAGAATGGCCAAAGCGAACAAGAAAAGACAAAAAGGATGGAGAGACATTCTTCTCTGCTGTAGATTCCTTAGATCAATTTGTTCCAAAGCTTTTCACTTTGAAGCACAGAGGAAGAAGGGTTTATGAAATTTTATATTATTTTTTGGTGATTTATACTGCAAATGGTGTGTGTAATTGAAATTTTGGTAGTTATTTTGGTTACAGCTAGGGCTATTCATGTATTTACATGCTTTTGGTTTAGCTTGTGTGATTACTAAAAAAAGTTATTTAAAATCAGTTTTAAAGTTTTTATCTTTTCTTTGTTATAGTTTCCACATTTCAATGGCCTTGGTCAAACGTATCAGCGTTTTCAAGACCATTGTCTCGCAAAGTTGTTACCATTCCGTTTACCAATGTTGATGATATATACTTACCCATTTGTATTCATGTTTTGAAAAGTCTTTATCAAGACATGATTTTGTTATAGATGATGCAAGTGTGGGATATATTATTAATCCACATCCACAACAAGTGAACAAACTAATTTTTAACATTTCATGATTATTTTAGCGAAAAATTTATAATGAAGACAACTGATTTGATATTAGTCATTACGGTATTCTTGGGATTTGCTTGAAGCTGAGTTATTGGTTATTTATCAAAAGTTTGAATTAGCAGTTATTAATCCGTTTATGTTATGATATTTGCACGAGGTTGATGATTGTGATTAGACATGTCATGATAGAATAATGCGAAGCTGATCTTAATAGATTGATCTTGATTTTATAAAATACAAACTCAAACGTTGTAGGTAGACTAGTCATGCTAGCCAGCTCATTGTTAATCACAAAATCCAAAAAAGAAAAATTAACAAGTTTAACAGGTTTTACGTGACCTGTTCTAGTTATGACATAATTTATCTAAAAAAAATATTTAGAGCAAATCTGATATTTTGATTTGTTTTCTTTTCAAAACATAAAAAGTGACCGGTACGGAGAAGACTAAATAATTTATAATCTTGTTGTCCAAGCAAATGTACTTGACTGTTATTGACTCTAGTGTTTTGAGTTTGATAACGCTTTCAAAACGTGATAAGATCAATGATGCCACCAAAAGTGTTTGTAACAAACTAGAAAGTGATGTTCTCATCTTCACCCCATTTGGGTCGAGCTTTTAAGTAATTAACTTAGGCGTGTGAATGTCAAAAAGTGTAAGAAAGAGCAAAGGTTTTAGGCGAGAATGATGTGATTTCTCAACAACTTTGTTTATACCTACTCTCAAAGAGAAGCACGCATAAATTATGAATAAATTTATAATGTAAAATACATGAAGATAATTAACATGAATACGGAAGGGTTCTAAGCCATAATTCACTATGTGTCTTTTCTGTTCATTTATCTTTGTATAAGATGATAATAAGTTGAAATATGAACGGAGAATGGATAGATAAATAATGTAGGAGAATAACGAGAAAAGAGAGACAAAAAAAGGACAGAAAGGCAATGACTCGACAAATTGGGTTCGATGAAGTGTGATGCCACACTTGTGTTTGTCCCAAGACAGACAACCCCAAGAACGAGCCTCAGTGGCGTGAACCCCTTTTTAAACCATCAAATAATAAACTTTTACAGTATGTTTTAAAAAATAGTTTCTTTAACTTGTTTTGGAACTCTCGCTTGTGTTTCGTGAACTTTCTATCTAACCCTTTTTAAAAGTTTCTATCTCATATACATATTAATATTATATATATATGTGTATGTGTAAGTTCCTTTTGGTTGATATAAAACAAGAGGAGAAGGAGAAAAAGAAAGATAGAACCCATAAAAACTTCTCATAGCTAAAATCACCTGAAGACAATGAACCCAGTTAGAATCACCTTCTTGCTTTGTGCATTGACCTTTTTATTCCTTATAGCTTCAACTTCTTCTCTACAACTCCACTCTCGCCACTCATCTCACAGGCCAGGTGACTACGTTTTTCTTTTCTAGATATAGCAGTATTTCTTCAGTTACAACGGGAACACTTTTTGTTTGTTTCCATCATCGATTAAGTTAACTAACTTTAGTTACAATGATTCAACAGATGTAAGCGAAAAGATTATGATTAAAATGGCGCCACGGAAACTCATGATCGTCTCCAGTGAACATGATAATGTAAGAGATTGGTACATCTTATTATAATACTTCCTAAATCTTTCAAATTGGGTTTTTGTATGAGTGTTTCTAAATCTAATAATATCCTATATTTCTTTTGCAAAATAACAGGTGATGACATCAGGTGCTCCTAAAGGTTCAACTGAGCAACTTCCAGTTACTTCTTCTTCCGGTAAGTCAATCATTTGGAAATGATAGGTATTTACATAAATAAATTAGTCAGAGATTTCTTTTAAGAAAAGAAATGTGTAAGTAGCAGAACTCATAAATAAGCACAGTTTTATAGTCAAACATGTGAATATTTGACCATGTCAGTAGAAACTGTTAAGTTATACTACATATTTTTTTTGCTTTTCTTCAGAATTTTGTTTTTAGTTGCAGATATATTAAATCACTACTTATTGGAGCATCTAGCTAAATAATTAAAAGAAAAACGCAAAGATTCGACATCTCATTTGAAAATTTCAAACTAAGAATTTGAATTAAATCTTGTATATTGTATTATCAGGCAATACTAAGAATGAAGAGAAGAGATTAGGTGAAAAAGAAGAGGAGAATGCTCTATCGAAATATCTATCGATGGATTATCCAAAGTTTAGAAGAAGACGACCAGTTCACAACAATATGCCTCGAAGGCCATGATACATGGTTTTTTTTTCAGTACAACTATTAATTTTAGCTATAGATTCATCAATTAATTAAGATAAGTTAGGGATGGTTTAAGTGGTTGGTATAACGTAGTTAGTTCTTTGGGAAAATTGAGGTACAAGTTTTGGTGATACTATTGTAATTAACGGAATATGTTCAAGGTAATTCTTTTTTTATAGTACTATATAGTTTTGATTAATGGTAATGGCCGACAACAATTGAGCAAAACCCTAAAACTCTGGTTTGGGGTTTGAGCTAATTTGCTCTTCGTTTCATGCACTGTAACATGGTGCCTAATGTGGTTGAAAAAATGAAATTTCATTTATAAATTAACAGTATACTTAAGATTTAATAACTCACTGCTGGAATACTATGCATAAACTTGATAAAAAGAAAAAACGTTACAAAAGGTTTGTCAAACAAACAAAAGATACAACGTTGCTGTGTTTTTTTTTAATGATTGTAAAATTTATTCATAACAAAAAAGCTTTTTTACAAAGAATGCTTCATTGTGTTGGAATCTATCAGCTATTCTAAGGATTGAATGGTAAGAAACTTGAACTCAATATGACATCAATATCAAGAGTGTCATCGTGTGTCAAACCATTTTTTCATGGCTTCTTCATACCCCTTTCTCCCTAGTCTTTGTGTAACGGCGATCCTGTTCCTGACAATCATATCAATGTAGCTGTGTAAACGGATCGCAGTCTGGTGTGGCTGACCATGCCTACGTCCATTTCCTTCCCGCCAAAGTGAGTGTAAGGTTGCTTGGAACACAAATCTGATAAGAAACAGAATTGTTTTGTCGATGGATTGATCCACCAAAATCTTCAATAGATCAGGCCAACTTTGTTGTGTTCAAAGGTGAAATAAAATCTCCTTTCGGAAATTACAAAATTTTCTGTAACGTCAAGGACTGCTCTTTCCGTGTGCCCACGTACGGTGCATTGTAGATTTATACTATCCGATGATATGGAGCATTAATTTATGGAGACTCTAAATACTTATTTGATGATATTGTAATCACTATGTAATTTTTTCGTGCTTTAATTTCATTCACTCATACCACTCGAAAAGTTACATATTTTTTTTCATTATTCTAATTCAAGTACATTCAGTTAGAATTCTTCCAGGACAAATAATCGAAAAATAACTTTGATAACATAAATAACCAAATCAATTGTTGTTAGAATTTTTTTTTATTACAATTAGGGGTGGGCGTTCGGTTCTTCGGTTCGGGTGGGTTCTTTCGGTTCTCGGTTCTTGAATTTTGGTAACCATTAAGGAACCGTGAAAATTTCGGGTCAGAACGGATCGGTTCTTTCGGTTATCGGTTCTTTCGGTTCCTGAAATTTGGTAAAAATGTTAGAACCAGAAATAACGGTTCCAATCGGGTTTGGTTCTAAATGGTTACTTTGTAACCATATTACCCAAATTAGTCTAATGCACTTGCAAATAGATATCAAAACCAACACCAAAATAACATTCAAACGATTTTCTCATTAATAAACCATAAAATCTAAATTGTAAGAATAAAATATCCAAAAACACCCACAAGGTTTTTAAACAACCAAACACTAAACTGTTGAAAATAAAACATCCAAAAGACTAGCTTGAATTCATAGTTGAAACTTGAGATAGAAAGTAGATAATAAGAGAAACATGAAATCTTACACTATTAAAAGCCCTTATTCTAGGCTTTTTAGACTGTCTACCTAGGACAATTTAATCGACCAATGACGTCGCATGATTCTGCCATGTCATTTTTAATTAGGCTGTTTTGATGTTTATCGTGTAAAGTTGATTTCAGGCAGTATGTTTGATGTCGGTAACGCTTAGCCCATTACAAAGACCGCACAAAACCGATCCTTCATTTTGGGCTTTCTTAACATTTTTAAACATCCCATTAACCAGCCAAATAATAGGCCAAAGGATCGTTGTCTTCTTTATCTCCCACGCCGAAAGATTAAATTCATGTTCTCTTCAGATCTTTAGGGGTAACGCTTCAGTGCACAATTATGATTCACTATAGCATCTCTTTACTCTCACTAGCGAAACGGGCGCAATCTCTTCAAATCCCCTATCTGCTTCCCCGTCGTCTCTCTTTGTTATCCCATGCATATTAAGACTCCAGAATCAACTCCAGCCCTTACAGCCTCTTGGCCTCTCCCATCCCCCTCTAATTCTCATTTTTACATATTTATTCGATTTCTTCCTCTTAATTTCACTTAGAAAACGGTTTTCAAATCTAAGATCTACAACGACGCTGGATATACTCGGCGAAGCATTGGTAAATTATCTCATTTATTCATCTGCTTCTCATGAATTTATGAGATTGCAACTAATTTACTTTAAATGTTTATGACTCATTGACGACTTGACATCTGCTGTCGACTTAAAGAAGACATTAATATTACAACTAATTTACTTTAAATGTTTATGCTAATTTACGTTCGATTAAATAATTTATATATATTTAAATTTTTGAAATCCGAAACATGGGTTGTTACACTTTTTCTACACGTAGACTGATGCAACATCCTTTTTCATATTGGCTTTTTTTTTTCTTCTTATTTATTATCTAATTTTACTTAAAGTTTTTAGTTTCCTTTTATTTAATGACAAGGAAGAGTAATAATTCCTTTTTTGAGTTAGCATTGGTGTTTTGCTTCGATATATATAGTCGATGTCTTGGTATCGTAAAGGTCCCGACTCTCGACCTTGTTCGATACAGCTTTCTGACTCTCAACAATCTCAAGAAGGCAGGTTTCGTAGGTATTCTAAGAATAATAGGTTTACGTAGGTTTCTAGTACGGTCGTTGCAAATACACAATTCTTCACTATAAACGTTAAAAAGATGAGGAAGAAAGAAATTTGAGAAACTTGTTTATTTTTTTTTGTTTTTTTATGCGTGGGTTTTGGCTTTTCACAAAGCCCCGTTTATGTTTTTCACCAACTTGTTCAATCCGTTTTTCCGAATTGGTTAGGGTTTGTAACTTTAGTATTCCGATCTGATCGTAGGTTGATACGCACAAGGAGCGGACGAGAGTGAAAAAGAAGATGTCTGATAAAGAAGATGTCGGGAAGAAAGAGTTTGTGGACAACCCGCCTCTTACACCCCGAGCGAACGCGAACGAGAGAGAAAAGGAAGTAGAAGGAGTCATGTCTGAGAAAGATGTGGAGAGACAGATTCTTGAAGCCGGGAGAAAGCTTATTAACCCGCATCTGTTGGCAGTCAATGAGCTTCTCACTCTCCTTGACGTGAGCTCCTTGCCCATTCCATTATCTTTTTCTTCTCTCTGGGTGTTCTTCTTTTGGAGTCCTTGACTTTGATAAATTATGTTTTGGTGCAGGGTGTTTTAATTTGCCTCAAGAAGGTGTTGTCAAAGAAGGAAGCACTCCATCCGTTGCTGAAAGCATTAATCAATCGAAAACTCTGCAGGCATCCAGAAGTCGACGTGAAACTTGGAGTCGGTGCCTGCATCAGTGAGATTACAAGAATAACTGCTCCAGATGCTCCTTATGATGGTCGCAAAATGGAGGTATGTTGGTAATTTTTTTTGCTCTTCATGAAATCATGGGTATTATGGTGGTTGCTCGGCTTACTCAATTTTCTTTCTATTCTTCATGCACAGAAAGCATTCAAGTTAATTGTATCATTATTTAAAAAGTCATCATTCGACAAATCTACCTTGTCCCATTCCGAGATCTTATCCAAAAAGACCTCGATCCTTGAGAGCCTTGCTAAGGTCAGCGCATGCGTTGTGATGATTGACCTCGACTGCAATGAGCTTATTAATGTGATGATCCAGAATTTCTTGCAGGATATAAGGTACGTACACTAGCCAATAATTGAGTTTTTTTTTTGGTCTGAAAAATATACCGTGAATTGCTGCTATCTTATTCTTAGTCAGAAGCTTTATTTTTACATTCATTCACAACCTTTTTATCTTTACTGAAATTTTTGTTTTACTATCATCTGTGCATTTCAAGCTACTTATTTGTTATCATGTTTTATGTTCCTTTTCAGTTGCTACTATTCACCCAAGTTATTTTCTTGTATGGAGAATATTATGACCCTTGTTCTCAAAGAAACCCCAGATCAGTGTCCAGATATGCTTCCACCAATTATATATCATGTTAGAAAGGATGTTGAGGTGATGGTCTTTGCTAGTTTTGTTTCAGCAACCAATGAATGAATGCCCTTTTGTTATAATCTTTCCATGCATCTTGTCCACACACAGATTCCCTGCGAATCAAGGAGGTTGGCAGAAAAAGTTCTGAGTAACTGTGCTGATCGGCTCGAGATGGACCTGCCTTTCGTGGTTCAGATGTCGAAGGTCGCTATAGGCAACTATCGTAACATAGTGGCTTGGATTTGTAAAGAAAGTGATGTAAGCTCATCTTGTCTGTTTCTCTCCACCCAGCGGTTGGGCTCGGGTTTAATGTCTTTTTTTTTTTCCTTTCTCTCCCTCCAAAAAAAATTGTTGATTTTGTCGAAAAAGATAAATGGCTTTCTTCTTTACTTTTGTTTTGGTAATTTATACACGTTCCATTCTTTTATTACCCCTGCAGGAGGATGGTCATTTGAAGGTACCAGGAGTAGAGGCATGTGTTCTTTCTCCCTGAAATCTGTTGATTTGTAGAAAAAGATAGATTGATTTCTTCTTTACCTTTTGTTCTAATTATATGGTTAATCTCCCAACTTTTTACCCTGGCAGGAGGAGGATAGTGGAGTTGATTTGACCAAGGAACCAGGAGTAGAGGCATGTTTCTTTCTCTCTCAAATCAGCATGGAGATTGTTGATTTGTACAAAAAGATAGATATGGATTTTCTTCTTCTTTACCTCTTGTTCTTATAAAGTTGTCCCAATTTTGCAGGAGGATAGCGAAGAAGATCATTTAACAAAGGTAGCACAAGTAGAGGTTAAATGTCGTAGATACTGCCAAAGACCGGATGAGAGAGCAGACGAAGGAGAGGGAGTCGTTTCTAG